CTCATCCAGCAGCATGGAATCCAGCTCTTGCAAGAATGTGGCATTTACTCCAAGACTGAGAAAAAAATAGGTCCTTTCCTGTTATCCTCCTGTGGAGCTGCACAAGTCATTACACGGCATTTTGAAGGAAGAATGCTTGGTTAATTTATTCTGGCTGGATGTGGAGCAAACCAGTGCCGGACACTGGGTGGAAATCTATGCCTGTACCTCATTATCTCTAATGGGAGTTTCAAAGGCGCGCGCGGATTTAGTGTCCTATTTGGTCTGAGTTGTATAACACCTGTCAGTAGGCAGCTTCCTTGCTATGTCATTAATATTTAAATAATGTGATTTAAAGGTCAAACTGCACCTACAGCAATATTAAAATACATCATTCAGGTTTTCTAAATGGTTATGCAAAGGAGTAAGAGTGGCGACCCGCAGGAGACAGTGAAAAGTTACTGGCCCTACCTAGAAGAGAGAATTAGCCACAAATAATTTTATTGTATGAATATAATTAATAAATGAAGAAGGTTGCATTATTTTTTTCCTAGTCAGAAATCTACAGCATTGTATTGAATTGTTGCAAAGATGAACTACAGGGGATGAGTCCTGCCTAGACTAGCTGGGAGTGAGCAGCAGAGGTTGGGGGACTTGCCTTCCCTTTACTGTCTCCCTTCTGAGGTTTCCATCCCTTTACCTCCGTGGTCCACCCTGGTCGCCTCTCCTGGGAAATGCCTTGGCTGGATGGCTCTACCACCTTTGCCTGCAGTGCACCTCATTCCCAGCAGAGAGAGCTAGTCTCCACCGTTGTTGCTTTGGAAGGAACCTCATTAACAGATTTACCAATCATGTTACTAAGGAAGGTTAGTAAACATTTGCCACTTTTTGGCCCCTAGCATTCACCTGCCGCCCCCTCCTTCTATCATGTCTTAGTTCAACTGTAAAGTCAGGCGCCTGGCTCCCACCATGGGTGACAGAAGACCTGAGTTTTTCCTCTCTAATTGAGGAGACTTAGTATGCAAGATAAATTCATCTCAGTGTCCTCATGTTGAGCAGAATATTCCTGCTCTTTGGAGCTCTGCAGATTTCTTGGTTCTCTCTGTAACCAACTCAGCTTTTACAGTGGTCCATAGACTCTCTGAGCTTCCTAATGCTGTCGTTCTGCGGACAAAGAATTAGCACATTGAACGGCCTATCAGCAGACTCCGTGCCTGATTTACGAATGAGGCTTCCTAACGATGCAGGACAAATTGGTCATGAAGTACCTTCCAAACTGTGGCCAAATTTACAACCAAGAGGAGATGCTTTGGACAAAGAATGTAGTTTGCCATTCCAGTAAGTGAATGTTGCCCACCATCAAGCCATCAGCCACTGTAGCCACCTTGACGGTGCACCCTGAGGGGAATACAGGATGGAGAAAACCAGAATGCTGGCCCTAGATAGTTAAGGTGCATATCCAAGGAATAATCTTAATGAGCCTAGACTCTTGCCGAGCACACCATCCTTACCCCATTCTGTCTGCAGATTTGTGGGTCTGCCCTGTGTGTGGGTGCACAGAAGCTCAAACAGGGATGAGACATGCATGGTCCTCCTTGATGGTAGCAATTTGGATTGTCCTGTTTATGCCTGAAGATGACACTTCATCAATACTGGAAGAAGCAGAAAACCTACAGGATCTGATCTGCCCAAGTTGTTGCCAGGGGTAAGGAAGGGAACCCTGAACAAGGATGTTTGCAGGTAGCAGTGAGAGGAAGACAAGCTTTTACTTGCTTGTACCCTACCAGTTATTATACTGGTTTCAATTAATTTACCCTTATGAGTTAACAGAGTCAGTTTCCCACTCTTGAAGCCAAAGCTCTGTACACACTATAAGTGTGTCATGCCTCTCAGAGATATTTGTGTTGCAACGCAGGATAACCTTTTAAATTCAAGGTTAGATTTTTCTGGCATCACAGTTAGGAGTGTGGAAAGAGGAGAGTGGCATACTCCTTCACAAGACGAAACACAGTGAGTTCCCCCAGGTTTGCTGGATGCTGTCAGACAGAGGGCCTGGTGGGAAGGTCCACTACCATGGCCACCTGTGGCCATCTTGATGGCTTTAATCATGACCCTGTTTCCAGGTCACTTAATGACTCCAAAACTAGCTTTCTTATCTATAAAGTGGGAATAATAACAACTCATAGAATTGTGAGAATTCAATGAGGTGACACATGTGAAATAGCTTTTGAAACTGTAAAGGGGTGTACAAATAGGAAAGATCTTTTCTTAATTTAATTTTTGAATAGATAACACATTTATGGCATATGTGGTTTAAAATACTTTTTTTTATTTTTTTCGGTACACGGGCCTCTCACTGTTGTGACCTCTCCCGTTGCGGAGCACAGGCTCCAGACGCGCAGGCGCAGTGGCCATGGCTCACGGGCCCAGCCGCTCCGCGGCATGTGGGATCCTCCCGGACCGGGGCACGAACCCGCATCCCCTGCATCGGCAGGTGGACTCTCAACCACTGCGCCACCAGGGAAGCCCTCTTTTTCTTTCTTTTTTTTTTTAACATCTTTATTGGGGTGTAATTGCTTTACAATGGTGTGTTAGTTTCTGCTTTACAACAAAGTGAATCAGTTATACATATACATATGTTCCCATATGTCTTACCTCTTGCATCTCCCTCCCTCCCACTCTCCCTATCCCACCCCTCCAGACTGTCACAAAGCACCGAGCCGCTATCCCTGTGCCATGCGGCTGCTTCCCACTAGCTATCTACCTTACGTTTGTTAGTGTGTATATGTCCATGACTCTCTCTCGCCCTGTCACAGCTCACCCTTCCCCCTCCCCATATCCTCAAGTCCGTTCTCCAGTAGGTCTGCATCTTTATTACTGTCTTACCCCTAGGTTCTTCATGGCATTTTTTTTCTTAAATTCCATATATATGTGTTAACATACGGTATTTGTCTTTTTCTTTCTGACTTACTTCACTCTGTATGACAGACTCTAGCTCTATCCACCTCATTACAAATAGCTCAATTTCGTTTCTTTTTATGGCTGAGTAATATTCCATTGTATATATGTGCCACATCTTCTTTATCCATTCACTCTTTTTCTTTTTTAACAGCTGGTTTAGTGAGTCCTCTATTGATACATATCTGGGTTTTTTCCTAATATTCTTCTATTCAGATAAGTCTGCAAAGAAGCATTGTGTGTGTGTGTGTGTGTGTGTGTATGTGTGTGCACACACGGGTGTATGTATGTATATTTACATATTGAATTTCCTCCATCAAAGAGGGAAGAGTTTTTCTTTCTTTGCTGGTGCAGGTGCCCTGTTTAGAACAGGAAATCTTAGGCAGAGCTCTCTTTCTGTAACTCTCACCAAGCTCTGATTATTTGGCCCTGGACAAGAACGGATGGAGCCAGAGGTCAGTTCTTTGTAGCTTTTAAATTTGAGGAAAGAGAAGGCAAGTGGGAAGCCTGGGTCTAGAGTTGGATTTCTCTCCTCAGGACATGATGAGTCTGCTCCTATGGAAAAGGGACTTATGTTGCTTCTTTTCCATATTTTGGAGCACTTTTCTCAACCAAGGAATGGGGATATTAGCACTCACCCACAGCACCGAGCTCCCAGCACAGCTCACTCTGTAATAATAGCCACACGGCTGTCCTGTCAGCAGGGTATTTGATGGACCCTTGCTCCATTCAATTCACTATTACAAAGTGAAATACGACAGGTGCCAGAGGAGAGGGAGTGGAACAAAACCATGGGTGTACAGCCATCGTTCATAGTTTGTGGTCTCAGAGGCCCAGTGACTCCGCTTCTTAGTTGTCTCAGTGGGTGTCATGTCACACTGATGCTGAGACAGCCCACCCGCCCCCTGCAGCTGAGCACGACCTGGTCAGACACTGACCATTCTGTTGCTTGTCGGAAGGCAGCAGCTGTGAAACGGCAGAGCCTGTTCGGGGCAACGTGGAACAGTCACTGTGCAGAGGAAATGATGTTTGTAGAGACGGGCAGAGGTAGTTGCTGAGAAGAGCCAGGCAGGACTGGATTGGGACAAGTCTTGATCGCTAAGTTCAAGCTTTCAAACCATTGCAAAAGCTATGGGTTCCTTTGGGGATTTTAAGTAATAGTGTAACCCCAAACGCGCTTGCATTTGCATGTAGAAAGAGCACTCTGGCACCAGTGTGGCGATGGATGGAAGGGGAAGACCCTGGGCGGGGAGCGCAGTGAGGGCGCCCCCCTAAGGCAGGAGGTGGCAATTCAGGCTGCGACCCCCTGGGAAGCGCAGAGTGTGGGAACCCTGAGGCGTAGGAGAGGACAGAGGGCCGACTCTGGGACGACCGCCCAGTTTCCGGCTCTGTTAGCCACGTGGATGGTCGTGCCATTTACTGAGCTGTACGCACAGGAAAAGAAGCCGGTGCTGCATGAGGGCTGAAGGTTCCGGTTGGCGGCGAGCTTGAGTTGCTGGAGAGACATCTAAATGGAGACGTCCAGTGGGCGGTTTGCCATGTGAGTCTGGCTTGGGAGAGAGGTCAGGGCTGGCAATTGTACGGATCAGCCTCCTTTACATTTTTTTGCCACTGTTATTTATTTTTCTGGGAATGTTCCTTTCTTTTTTTCCTGTCTGTATCCTCTCTCACCCCCTCAACACTGCCTTTCCCCTACAGTGGAGACCGCGCCACCCAAGGTGTAAAACCTCCTGGGAGGCTGTTTCTCAACTAGTGGGACCTTGGTGCCAATAACCACCTGCTTGCTGAAATGGAGTCTGGCCTGCACATTTGAAAGTAATGTTAGCAGTTCTAGTCTCTGACGGATGACGAGTCCACTAGTTACAATCCCAAGTAATGAAAAGATAGATTCAATGTTTCTTTCTTCTTTTGAGTACAGGAGTAATTATGCAGGTGTTTATTTGATCAGCCTATCAGTCAGGGAACTGGAAATTCTTAAGCTGCATCCTTTCAAAGCATCAGTGGCAGATTGCGTCCACCCTCTCACTCATGCACGCCCACTGTTTCTTGTCTAATGGAATGAATTAACCATTGTTCCTTCCTTTCCATGTGGATGTCTACAAACCTCCAGGCAGATGCCCCGGTAAGAAACCCACTGGCAGAGAAGAAAGCGAAAGCCCCTTCCATGTGTCGTCTTCTGGAACACTGCAGAACAAGCATTTGGCATAAATCACTCCAAATTCATCAATTCTGGCGTACCATCAAAGAAGAAGAAAGATTTCTAATGGGGTGAGTGAATCTTTGTAAATTCAAGAGCTCCTTTTAAAAAACCCTGACATTTCCTGCTGCCATAGAAACCATCTTTTGCAAGTGGATTGTAAATAAAAACAGGGCCCTCTGGCTTCACATTTATATTATATGTCTATGGTCTTTTAAATATGGAAAAGTATGCCTTATTTCTCTTGGAGGTGTCTGGGCTGTTGATCTTATTCTCATTGTATCTGACTGTAGTCATAGGGAAAGCTTATGTTAGCCTTTCTGGGTTAAGAGGAAATTCATACAACTGATAGATGCCGATATTCGTTTCAATGCAATCGGAGGTTTTGTGTTCCTGAGAGCAGATGAATCATGGAAAAGAATTTAAAAAAATTTCTCCCCCAGCAAGGGTAAAATAGTGTCATAGATCTGTGTGGAATTGCTCACAGAACTCCTGTGACATGAAGGCTGTGGCTGTTTTGAGACATTTCATTTGTTTATCACAATTCACTTTGTGAGGAGAACCCAGTATTTCATTGGGGCAGATATGTGCCCTTTGCATATCCTTCTCGAGTTTTGACTGGCAATCCTGTGGAAGAGAGCCTCTAAGAGTCTGCATGGAGGATGAGAGCAGAGTGGCTGGGAGTCGCTCGTGCCATTAGCTACACCTGCCAAACACCGACTGGGCAGGGAGGCATTCTGGGAGATGCAGGGCTTGAAAGCTTTCTTTGCTGACCTTGAGTTAAAGCAGAACTGATTTCACACATATGAAATGCACCCCAGGAAAAGTTCTCCCTCGAAAAGCTGTCTGTTTACCCTTGGTTTAGCTAAATCTTCCTCTTTTGCATTCCCCTAGCCTCCATCTTGTCACTCAAGAATACTGAAATTATCTGTTTCTGTTTCACCCACCAAACGCTCCACTTTTTAAGGGCAGGGACAGGGTTTGATTCATTCTTATGCTGCAGTGTCCAGTCCAGCACCCTGCACCTAGTAGGTTCTCACGAAATATCTTTCAAACAGAACTGACATGAGTTGAAAAGACATATCTTGTAACTAAGAGTGGGCTTCTCCAGGGTGGGTACCATGTCTCATTTATTTTTGGAATAATAATGAAGATAATAGCTTACATTGATTGGCTGTTTGCATGCATTATCATTTCTAATTGCCTCATCAATTCTATAAAATACCTTCTATTATTTCTATTATCTCCATTTTTCAGATAGTGAAACTGAGTCAGAAAGGTAATTTGTTTGACCTGGTGCAGCTAGTACGTGGTGGATCTGGGGTTCTGACACACACCTTCTGATGCCAGAGCACGTGGCCAGTGTCATGATGGTCTGCCGCCTCCAGGCCTCAGCATAGTCCCTTATTTACAGAAGATATTAAGAGATGTTTGTTGAATGAGTAAATCTCATAGGAACTCTGGCAGCTCAAAGTTGTCATGTGCCTGGCTCGCTTTTTAGAAGCAGTCAACACCTCATTTCTCACGGTGCTGCTGGTTGGTACTTAGGAGATTGATCTCATGACCCAATCATGAGAGTTGTTCACAAATATTTTGTTTCCCATCCTTCCAGGCACAATAGAATTCACTTCCTTGTTACTTCCTGTTAGTCATGGACTTCTGACTTGCCTTAGCCCATGAAATATGAGCAGAAGTGATACGTGTCACTTACAAGCAGAAGCTTTGAGGGCCAACGTGTGCTTCACCATATACGCTTTCCCCTTCCATGGTGAATGTGGACATAAAGGCCAAGGCGGAACAGAGCTCCTTGACGATCCATGTTGGTCGTGTGTAGTGTGAGGGAGAAATAAACCTTCTTTTGTCGTTAGCCATTGACATGGGGGCTTGGTTGTTAAGTGTAGCATAACCTCACCCATCTTGCCTAGTCCAAATATCAAATGACTGCTTCTCTCTCATTTCAGTCATCCGGACATCACTGGCAGTGATGGTCCAAGTACAAGAGGGCTTCAGAAGACCCCTCGTAATTCAACAAATATTAAATTACTCCTCTTACCATATCCCTTTAGACGTCAAAGGCACAGAGTCCTGTCTTAACTTGGAAACTCTTGATGGTACCCACTAGATATAACTCCTTTTGAAAGTTTTGTTAGTTTGATTGCTTTTATGGATTTGGCTATGTCTTAGGTCGGGTTCTGCAGAAACAGACCCAGAAATGAGAATGCCTGTACAAGTGCTTTATTCAAGAAGGGCTCCCAATGGAGACCAGGGAGGGGCTGGGGGAGCAGGACAGGAAGGGGGAGGGAGCCGAGGCAGCACGTGGTCTCAGGCCAAGTCTTCAGGAAGATTCCCAGGGAAAGGTAAGTTACACCTTAGTGTTTTCTTGCCTGGAGCAAAGGAGTTAGGCTTCCCTTCTCCCCTGGTGAACAGTTTTGATTAACAGTTACCCAGTAGAAGGTGGGATGTAAACCCCAGGAGCTGGCCTCCTAGTAGGATAAGGGCATTCCCAAAGAAGATACACAGGCACTGGCTGTTGAAAGCACACTGAAGGGGGAGGAAGGGTGTGCACAGAAAAAGTTAATTAGGGGACATTTCTTAGTTTTGACCTATTTTAAACACTCTTTGCTTAGACACTTGTCAGGGAAAAATCAAAGATTGGCCTCCCCATTTCTGTGTGACAGTGACAGACAGGGGGACCTGGGGGTGAAAATGACCTTCCTGTCATCAGGGAGGCAGTCACGACGAAAGATGATGTTGGCACTTGTGACTTCTGAGTCTGGTGCCAGAGAATCGTGCACACGCTCTGGGGCACTCTTGGCATGAGAGCTGATTGTGTCAAACTCTAAGTGTGCTCTACTTTAATACAATCTGATGTACAGACTTCTTATTGGCCCACAAAGACAAATTAAAGTATATCTGTTTACATTAAAAAACCATTTAGTGAAGCTGAAAGGTTAAACGCCAGCATTCCTGGAAACAGTTTCCAGGATAGCAAAAATAAGAATCTTACTGTGTAAATTGTTAAAAACAAGTTTACTAGAAGAGTTTGCAGGATTTCCTTCTTCTGAGGTTTTCAACAAGGACTTATCTAGGGGCATAAGAGTACTATCCCAGATGGGATGGGAAGGGAATGACCTTTCAAGGTCGCTCAGATGTTGTGATCACAGTGCAACAAAATTGGGATTCCACGTAACTGATCAGAACCATTTATGCACAACACCAGGCACTACATGAACGTATGGCAGGAACACAGACACTGTGGAATGTGTACATTGCATCGTTATGTTTGTGTGACTTCTGTTTTATACATCTGTCACAAGGAAGGAGTGAAGCCTGTGATTATCTTTCCCTTAGACTGGCAAATGAATGTGTAAAAGTTGGAGAAAAGACAGACATTGTATTTACCAGAAACTCATAAACTACCAGAAGCTGTAAGTAAATGTGTGAGAATCAATTTCTTCGTGCTTGGGAATATTACCAGCATTTCCGTTGTAACTGCAAATAACGTGAGATTTGAAAACAAATACCAAATATGTTCCTGTTTGGAAATGTTTTAAACTTTAGTCTTTATCAATAAATCTAAATCTCTTCATTCCACCTAAAGCTCTGACATTTTATTTTCGAAATGTTGTGTTTTCCTTCTGCCACATACTCTTCTGCTCCCTTACCCCTTCTATAACAAACAATCATACAAACAAACAAAGATCGCCTCAGACCTTTAGAGTTCATTGTGCTATGCTGGCCCCAACTCAAAGGTTGTCTGAACTTCTTAGCAGAATTATTTCAACATGTTTTGTTTTACTGTCTAGCTATAATACTTATCAGGTCATTTTTTTTTGAGAAAGGGGAGGAGAAGAAATGAAATACACCTTTCATTATAATTTATTTTAAGCAGTAAGGGAACATGGCTGTGCAATTGGCTTTTTTTTTTCTCCCTTGCAGCCCTTGTATTCCCTGACTCTTTGTGGAGTCTTACTGGGTGACTCTAGGTTACCTGCTGCAGCAGAATTGTGCCTCTTGCCTCTCAGTATGGAAGGTGCATGTATAGCATGATCTGTGGCAGGTAGGATCAGCAAGAAGTAAAACACTAAAGCTTATGGGTACAGGTAGATGTGGGTATGGTGCTTTAAAAGTGTGTCCACAAATTCTTTAAAATTCTACTGGCACCCCATCTTCCTCTTTTCTCTGAATCTGATTTTACCCTCATCATGACCCTGAACCTTAGCTTTTTCCTATTCTTTTTCCTTCTATCTTTCTTTGGGTTCTCTTATCCTTTTGTCTATGCCTTTACAGCACCCAAGATTTTCTTATTCCCTTACCCTTTCATTTTGCCTGCTTTGACCATCACTAACCACACACAGCTCCCCAATGTTTGTATTCTGTTTCCAGTATTGTCATAGGTGTGCATTGTCGTGGAAAACTGGGATTAGACTGTCTGTCTAGTAAGTTTCCATGCCCTCCTTTCTCAGCTGGGGCCTCAGTTCAGCAGGAGACTCCTTTTAGTTCTATTCTGTTGTTTCTCTCTTATGTCCTCCTTTATCCCACTCTGCCATACACAAACCCTCACCTCATCTATTCCTCATTCTTTTCTCTCTGCTTATAATCTTACCTTCTGCTTTGCTAAGAAGACAAGTCTTTCAAGGTGAGGCTTCTCAAATAATTAACTTCCTTACCCTCATGTTTGTAAGGAAACATCCCCTGAAATAGCAGTGGCTCAAACAGGATAAAATTTATTTTCTCTTATGTATAGTTAAGAAGTGGGAGGCTCGGGGGCTACTTTCATGATCCTCAGGAACCCAGATACCTTCCAGCTTAATGCTCTCCTGTACCTTGGGTGTGGCTTCCATCTTCATGAGCCACATGGCTGCTTGAGATCCAATGATTGTATTCACATTCCAGGAAAAGGATGAAGAAAAGGAAGAAAACAGGTGTATCCCTTTGTTTAAGGACACACCCCAGAAATCACATACAACACATCACCTTACAACTCACTTAAGAGTTAGTTAGTCCTCTGGCTTTAGTAAGTCTGAAGAATGCAATCTTCTCTAGGTAGCCATTTGCCCAACTAAAATGT